ATTCCGAATAGAGAGCCGGAGCAGGCCGGTTCTGATCTGCTGTACTGACAGTGTTTCCTGTCTCAGCAGTCACAAGCTAGGCTGCACGAGAGATGGAGCACAATGCCGTGCTTGATCACCTGTGTTAAATTACAGGGGAGACATTAGGGGTCATTAGACCCCAGATGTCTCCATAAAGAGAACCTGTCACCTCAATACGCTATCACATAGGAGCTTGTTAGCCTCTATGTAATAGTAATAAAGTTAAGGGGAAAAAAATCAGTCATAAAAAATAATAAAATAAATAAAAATTTAAACCAATCCCACCATTTGCATGGTTGAACGTTGGAGTGAGAGCAATGATAATTGGGCCGTAATTCATGGTTAACGCTAAACTGATGACCTGTACAGGCTTTTAAAACGTCACCTATGGACAATGTTGTGAAGCATAGTTTTTCGCCATTGCTGAGGTGCATGCAATTTTAACACTTGACATGTTTGGTATCTATTTACTCGATTTAACTGCATCTTTTATATTTCACCAAAAATGTGACCATGTGTCACATTGTTATGCCTGATAAAGGGACTGCATGTGGTTCCTGTCAGTCATTTTGGTGTCACTCCCTCTGATGGTATCACTGGGTATGGGCCACACATCCCTTGTGACGCCACTGCCCGCAATACTGTCCCACTCCCTACTAAAGCTGCAAACCTCCACATACCCCCCACAATACAACCCCATACCCCCTTTAAATTTCAGTCCCAGACAATACCACCCTTACCCCCCTAGAGGCCCCAATCCAAGTTGGGCTACCACTTTAGTCCCTTGGACAAGTTTTTTGTTTTTTTTTTAATTCCAAACCCCTGAATGTTATATATACTAGGTTTATGCATGTACTGCTCATTAGCTTGATATTCCAAGTTTATGTAATTGTAGTTTTATGATGCAATGCTTTGGGGCTAGTATACACTTATTTTCAGGGCTGGTTTTTACTTCTAGTCTGCTGTCACTGGAGACTACAAATTAAATTCAAGACTATCGGAGAATATACCATCATCTGGAGGAGTAGATCAAATTGTGCGTGCATAGTGATCCTGATTAAACCGGATATCCTTCGCTGGAACCTTACAGGGTTTTATCTCAGTTTGCTGAGGTAAACCCCAAAGTAGCCCTCCTCAGTCAACATGGCCTCAAAACGAAAATATGATAAAAATTATATAAAATATGGGTTTTTGTACATTGAAGATAGGCGAGATGGACAGAAACCTCAGTGTGTTTTGTGTAGTGAAACACTAGCTAATGAATGCATGAAGCCATCAAAGCTAAAACGCCATTTGGACAAAAAACACCCGGCCCATGAAGAAAAACCTGTTAAAAGCAAGAGCAGGCACTCCGAGCATCTTAACATGTAGCTCATCGCAAGAAAGCCCACACTATTGCAGAGGAAATTATCTTACCTGCCGCCATTGACATGGTCAAAGAGGTCCTGGATCAATCTGCTGCAGATAAATTGAAGACAATTACACTATCCAATGACACCATACCACACTACTACTGCAGAGGACATTTTTAATACTTTGGATTCATATTTGGGTTCAGTGTGCCTGACATGGGATATGTGTGTCAGAATCACAACCGATGGTGCAGCCTGCATTACTGGAAAACACTCAGGGGTGGTGAAGAGGATTCTTGAAAAGGCACCAAATGCGATTTGGAACCATTGTGTGAAGATCGTGGCGCTTGCGCGTCACAGTGGAAGGCAGCCGCTAGGCGGAAGCGGAAGTCTCGCGATGCTTTCCAGGTTGGTGCGCATCGGCCGTGTTGCGTCAGGGGCTCCTCCCCTTCCTTCCTCCTTAAGCCTCCAGGAGGATCTCAGTACGGCGTTCCACTAATAGCGAGTGAACGCAGTACTGATTCCTCTTCACCTCTTGTTGAACCACAGACTGAGAGAGGCAGGACTACTGAGCCGGTGATGGTCACACTAACAGCAAATACCCTGATAGATGCATGTACTGGACTTTGAATGTGTAACAACCCACACCTGGCAACCTGGGGGTATATGACTTGCTTAGCCTGGGACTCATTGTGCTGTATTGCAATTCTACTGATAGCCTGTCTCCACACCTCCTCCACATTACCTAAAGGGGAACTTTGCCTTGCCAGGGCATTACACATTGTTTTTTTGTCACAGGAAGGCATTAACAGCCAAGGACATGGTGCCAGTGCTTCACGAAACTTTGAAAGATGTTGTCAAAGTGGTGAACTACATTAAACGGAGTGCCAAGAATGCCAGGTGTTTTGAGAAGCTGTGCAAAGACCGGGCAGTGAACATGTACATGTGCAAAGACCTGGGCAGTGAACATGTACAGGTGCTGTATCATGCGGAGATACGCTGGCTTTCCAGGGGAAAAGTCCTCTCACGTTTCTATGAACTGAGAACTGAAATTGCGGCCTTTCTCTCTAAATGCAACTCTCCTCTTGCCATTCTGTTTAACAGTGATATGTGGCTTGCACAAGCTGCTTATCTCGCAGATGTGTTTGAGCAGCTGAACACATTAAATGTGTCTATGCAAGGGAATGGACACAATATTTTTGCACAGATTGAAAAACATTTGAGGCTTTCAAAAAGAAAATGGAATTGTGGACAAGTCATGTTTCCAAAGAGAGATTTGATATGTTCCCCAATGCTTGTCATGAGCTTACACACCTGGACACCACAGGCAGAAATGAATTGAAGAAAACTATGATAGCACATGTCACAAAACTGCAGGAACGTTTCAACGACTATTTCCCAGAGCAGCACAAGGATGATGGCTGGATACGCGATCCCTTTGGAATCAAGTTGGAAAGCGTCATGTTGCCAAGCAATGAAGAGAGTCAGCTGATAGAGCTCTCATGTGATCAGATGCTAAAAAAGAAATTTACTGAGGTAACCCTCACTCAGTTCTGGTGTAGTGTTACTAATGACTGAATATCCCTCCATCGCAACCCATGCTATCAAAATCATCCTACCATTCAGCACAACCTATCTTTGTGAGAGTGGCTTCTCAGTTCTGGTTCAGCTAAAGACAAAACATAGAAACAGAATGGACGTTGAACATGACCTCAGAGTTGCTTTGTCTACCATCACCCCAGACTTTAAGACACTTATCAAGAGCAAAAAGCATCCCCAGTTTTCCCATTAGATCTCATTAATTTCATGTTTCAGTGACTGTTTTTTGATGGATTTTTCCCTCAAAAGCCCTTACATTTTCACTGTTTACTTTCAGTTGTTTACTGTTTAAAATTTGCATATATACGTTGCTGAATGCTGCACAAGTTGTTTTGTGTAATACATTAAAATGTTTCAGAAATGAAATAATTGTTGGGTCACGACTTAATGACCAAGGAAAAATGTGGGTCCCGAGATTACACAGGTTGAGAACCACTGCTTTAGGTGATCCCTTAAGACTCGTCTCTTCAGGGAAGCCTATCCCGCCTCAACCAAACCACTCAACCATCACGCTCTCATGCAAATCATCCCCACACCCAGATAGCAAGGATAACTTGCTACAAACTTCTGTCAGGGTGAAATTGTAATTTTGTTAAGTTGCTGCACATATTCCTGGCAAGTTGTAGACTTGCAGAACACTCGCAGCACAGGTTCTAGTTGACACTTTTTGAATTTGTAGCAAATTTGCTTGGCAAGTCTACAGCAAGAGTTCTGCAGGTCTTAGCAAGAGCTCTGCAAGCTCGCTGGTCTGGAGACTTGCAATGCAGACTTGCTGTAATTGTGCAACAAAATTGCGAAGCTTGGCAAGTCTGCAATAGTTTAGCAAGTCATTTTCAAACTTGCAGCTCAATTGCTTGTTATCTGGGCAGCTACCTCCTCATGTACCACTTGCCCCTCCCTTTTAGGACAGGGCCCTCCTTACCATCGTGTCTTGAATTAAAATGTCTTCCTTATATTGTAAAGCGCTGCACAAACTGTTGGCGCTATATAAATACTATGCAATAATAATAATATTGGGCTTATTAAAATAAATACATCTGTAATGTTGTTAGCTTCTAAATGGGCAGGATTACCTATGTCAAAGCACGATTACGTGTGTTAGTACAATGTGTTGCCATTCAGGGGCATCCCGAGGTCGGGTGTCACCTGGTCTCTGGACCGGGTGACACCCCAGCGTGTCATCGCGCGTGACGTCACCTCACACATGTGCGCTGACATCGCGCATGCGCGACCATCTTTTTTATGCCTGCCAGCGGCCATCTTGGTGATGGACACCGGCAGAGAGAGGAGAGGATGTTCATCCGGCAGGATGAGGTATGCCGCCGGGTCCCCTCCTCTCTCCTGACACTGTCGGGCTCTCGGTCCGTGACTGAGTGCCCGACTTTTTAGAGGGGGGTGACACCAAAATGACTGTCAATCATTTTGGTGTCACCCCTGCAATGGTGACACCTGGGTGCAGGCCGCACCCCCTTGTGACGCCACTGGTGCCATTCATTCTGGACACACCACTGCACATAACTGCGCTTTGACATAGGTAAACCTGCCCATTTATAATCTTACAATATTTCATGTTCTTGGATAAGCCCAATAATGACTCTTTAACTCTTAAATGATGAGTGGTGATGAACACTATAAACTCTGTTACTTTCCTCAGCGATCCTTCCTTGCTTTCATTGCACAAATAACATTAACCTTCCTAGTACAATGAGCAGACCGTCGGCCACTCTCATGACGTTACGATTCCTGAATGAACGTAGAAGGGCGGGGCATTTTGATTGACCAGCGCATCTAACGAATACAATTGTACAGCCTGAGACGCCGGCCAATCCGTGCTTTAGAAGCTTCCAGAATGCGCCAGCCAATTCCACCCTTTTAACGATAACTTCGCCCACCAATAAGACGCGACCATGGTGGTAGGCGGCGTCTCGGCGTGCTTGGCAACTCCCTGGGAGGTGATGGGAGAGGAGCGGCTTCCTGATGGACGGATGGCTCGGCCAGTCGGCGGCATTCATTTTTAACAAGCAGCGAATGATATCGTGGTTCGTAGGCGGGTTTTGAACTGTCATCTTCTAGTAGGTTCGAGAAGACGCGTGGAGAGGCCGGAGTCACAGGGAGCAGCAGAGCCATGGAGAAGGTAAGAGGGCGCCCATTGTAGCCGGCCTGTGTGATGACATTTGAGTGGCAGTAGTTAGAACATATCTATGGCGGGGGAACTGAGTGCTGCTTGTGTGTCAGTGGGGGCCTGCCAGCTGCTTTACATTAAACTTCATAAACAAAGATAGGATGTGTGCTCATTCATTTATTATTGTAGCACCCATCCAGACATTAGAGAACAGTGTTCTGTGTACTTTGCTCTTCTGGCTGGATATGGTGACACTTCTATGTAACTTATACACGGTGTTCCTGGAAGTAGATCTTAACCTAAGCAAATCCTTTTCATACAAGCTTCTTAATGTATTTCCAAGAGCTATTTTTCAGTCTAAAATCTGAAGCTTTCCCACAGTGAAACCCTGATGATCCTGCCATGAAGATCCTTTTTATAAGACACTTCCTGTTATGTGACAACTGCCTCTTGAAATGTACTTCTGTGTTGTCACCCTGTCACAAATGCCCCCTTGTGGAGACTACAAACTGCTGTGCTGACCCACATTGTGCAGTCATGGTCCTCTGTTGTCACTATTAGGAAGCTGATTGAGATCAAAGATGTGCAGCCGATGCTGTAGCCAGTGTAAAGAGGCAGGAAGTGGCTGACAAAATTCTGGAGGAGATCAGCAGCAATGAGATGCACAAAAGAACTTAAACAGACTTATTTTATTTAAAAAAAGGAAAAGGAAAAACACCATGGTAGTTTATCTTGCAATGCTTTTGCAAACATCCGGTTAGGGTTGATCAAATGACAATGTGTGCCTTATGTGTTTGCTGAGCAATAGTAAATCTGTTCTCCAGGAGCATGGGTAAAATAATTGTTCTGGTTCAGGTGAAACTGTATAAAGTTTACAGTGATGCTAAACTCAGGAGTTAAAGCTTCAGAATGCATTCAGGTATCTTACCTATTAACAAAAATCTTATTTCTAGCCTTCTGGCGGGTGGCTACTTTTGTTCCTCATAGCCTCCGTGTGTGTTGTAAAGTAGTCACTGCTCCAAGCTCACTCCTGTGATGGACTACAGTCTCAATACAATTTAGTAAACTAAACATGAGATTGTAGTCCATCACGGGAGTGAGCTTGGAGCAGTGACGACTTTACAACACACAGGGACCATGGGGAACAAAGTAGCCTACCTCCAGAAGGAAGGACAGTGTCTGCTTAGATTGAGATGATTTTGAGGTTCTACAGCCGAGTGATCCACAAATAGGTTATATCCTTGATTCTCAACTAGTGGGTTGCGACCCCGTGTTCAGTGGGTCGCCACATGCCTTCCACCTTTCTAGGTGAGAGGCTTCTCTGCCTCCCCCTAAGGCAGCATTGTCAGTTCTCACACCAAACAGTCATTCAAAATATGCTGCCCGGCGCAGAGTGTCAGCTTGAGGTGGTATGAGATGGAGCTATGGCCGTGAGGGAGCTCCATCTATCCATACGTGCATTGCTTACAGCTCCCTCACGTGTCTTATAGAGGTGCCTGGACCGGAGTGACATCACATTCTGGCTCCCGCCACCTCTACAGGGCATGCAAGGGAGCTGTACAAGCAATGCACATATGGATGGAGCCCATTCACGCTAGTAAAGTGCGTTAATTGCATAGTACCGGCGATTAACGCACTGTACCTCGCAATCAAGGTGGATTGATTGCGTTCGGTGGATTCTAGTGTGGGAGGTGTGTTGTGTTGCCATTCGTTTGAATGGTACCCCAAACGCACCTCCCACCCACCGCTCATACGCCTGCACCAGAACGTGCGGTACTCTAATTGCGTGCATTTCATTGCAGTTCCACTTGAGCCGCGACTTAATGAACAAGGACAAATGTGGGCCTGAGGTTACACAGGTTGAGAACCACTGGATTATATTTTTTATAATAAGGTACTTGAATGCATTTTTAAGATTGCTCTACTGAGTTTTGTGCCACTACAATGGCACATTTATTAGTATGGCCTTGTGTTTGCTTTTTATTCATATTCACTTGTGTATAAGAGAAGTAATGCTTGATATTCAAGTTACAGAAAACTAGTGGCAGCGTGCCCGGATATTATGTTCCTTCATCACCAACTTTACATATAAAGACTTCCTATTCTTTGTGGATAAATCCTTGAATCTGTTTATGGCCCCGTTCACACCTGGGTGATTCGGCCGCACGGATCCGCCGACATGAACGATCCCATATATTTCTATGTGGACCGTTCATGCGACCGCGCGATCTGAATCGCGCGGTAACCGTACTGATCTGTACCGTCCTGGTTAGAATGGGCTCTAAGACTAGGTTCACACCTGGGCAATCCATGCAGATGGTCATGGAATCGCCCACCGTTCGCGCTGGTGGTGCCATTATTTTCTAATGGCACCCCATTTGTGCCAGGCTGATCGCTCGGTTCCCCACCGCAAAACTGCCCGTGCAATTGAACACTAAAAAAAAAAGCTGCTCGTCGTGTGTTGCAAAAAAGGTACTTGTAACTCAATGGGGCCAGCCAGCAATTGCTGTATTGAATTGTGCACAATTGCACAGTCCCAGGATCGCTCAGATCTGAACCTAGCCTCAAGAGGAACTTCACTCTAAAGATGCCCATACACCTGCCAATTATCGTACGGTAATCGGCAGGTGTATGGAAGGCGTGCGACCGTTTCTACTGTACAGTCGCACGTCTTTTGTCTTACGATCAGGCTCGAAAACCCGCCGAGAATCGTACGATTGTCGGCAGGTTTGCCGACTATTGTCAGCGGGGAGGGCTTGCGATGATCGCAAGTACGATCTGCCTGTCCAAGATGGGCAGATCGAACGGTTTTTTAATTGCCTTACAACCATCGCAAGATATAAGTCTTGCGATGGTTGTAAGGTGCATGGCCAGCTTTAAGATGCCCATACACCTTACAATTATCTGCAGGTTTTCTGTGGTCAGATGGAAAAAGTGCAACAGATTTGGCCCAGGTGGGGATTACTCTATCCACACAGTTAGTGTAGATGGGGGAATCTGTTGCACCTTTTCCATCTGACCACAGAAAATCTGCAGATAATTGTAAGGTGTATGGCCAGCTTTACTTTTAGGCCCCATTCACACCTGTGTATTTAGGTGCGATTTAGGGATTTCTGTGTCAGGAATTTGCATTTTCCGGCAGCAGGAATCCCTAATCTGTTTACAAGTGGCAGCTGTCACCCATTCAAGTTAATGATCAGGTGACAAGCTGCTGCATGTAAACTTCTGCTACCCCATTCTTCTCAGTGGCCATTTTCACCAAGGGCAGATGAATCCATCTCCCTTTACTTCCTGGAACTCTGGGTCTGCCTCCTTAAACATGTGACGATGCACATCTCAAGGGAAATTAATGCCTTTCCTCAGATCTTGTGAGATTTTGTAGTTTACAGATAAGATTTCCCAGGAAGACACTGGTGATGTAGCCTTCCCAAGATGCATCTTTGAGGCCAGGGCTACATCACCAGGAAGCCACTGATCTCTCCGGTTCCGGGCTCACATGGGGGACATTAAAGCCCAGGAAGCCGATGGCGGGAGGCGGACATGGCGCCGCACCGTACAAGCGATCTTGCACCTGAATAGACACCAGATCGCTTGTATTTAAACAGCAATTGCCGGCTGTTTAAAACGGTACCTAGAACACGGCTGCAGGAGCAGCCATGTTCTTGGTATAACCACTTCCAGCGTAGAACGTACATTTACGTGCACCCGCTGGAAGTGGTTAGTGTACAGGTCATGCACACAGGGGAAGAGGAGGTGAAGATGTTAATGTACAGGTCACATACTGTGGGCTGATGGCGCTGAGGGGGTCATCATGCACAATAGGAAAGGTGAATTAGTTAATATACAAGGACAGGATGGTGATGAGATGTACAGGAGAGAAGGGTGCACTGGTGAAAAAATTATGCCACATTAAAATAAATAAAATGAATGAAATCTGCTGCTGCCTACCCTTTATTGATGACATCTTCATTCAGAAGATCGTCCTTTCTATTTTTGAGAGGAAGTGTAGGGCTCTCAAATGTAAACAGTACTACTACAGTTGTGATCACTGTGATTGGGTATGACAGCGCTCACAAGACACAGAACCACTCTGATTTGACTATGTGATTTTACTACAATCTGCACTGTCATAGACATTGTGCGTGTTCCGGGTTCACTCATGCAATGTAAACACAATGCTGTTTTAAAACGGTGCTCCAGAACACCAGGGCCACCACTCCCCTGTACTAAAGGTGTGTGTGTCTTAAATTTCAGCCACCGAAATTGTGGTGCTTCTATAGTTTCTCTACTCCCTGCTGGTGCTGCTCTGTGTTCCCTCCAACACAGAGCAGCGTCCAGCTGGAAGGAGAGAAACCTTCAGGAGGCTAAGCGGGGTGGGGAGGAGAGCACTGTCAGCAGTCTGTCACAGGAGGCCGAGCTCTTCCTGCACCTCCCCGCTCGGCCTCCTTTGACAGGCATAGACTCAGGATGGAGATCGGTGCGAGGAGGAGACAGCTGTTTGCTGTCACAGGACGCCAAGCTGGCGGTGCGGGGGATGAGTCGGCTCTCGCTCTGCCTCGTATGACAGCCAAAGGAGTCAGCATGGAGAGAGGTTACAAGCATTCAATGATCAGTGATCGTCGAGTGTTTTTAAATAATTGAGGACATAGTTTGTTTACTGTGTCCCCAATTATGAATGAATAAGAAGTGCTCTACATCACGTACTATCCCATATCCACAGTTTATGAATGCACAGGAGCGCTCAGTATAGAGGCTTCCTGTTCATTCATAACAGGGGCTGCAGAAACAAGATCGAGGTCTCTGTGTAGACCTCTGATATTTCTCCAGAGCCCCCAACAGTAAAGTAAAAAAATAAATAAATAAAATGTTAACGGTTAGGGTAACAGAAGTTATTTTTGGTTTCGGTCTGAAAATTTAATTTCAGTGCACCTCCTAATATACACTATATTGCCAAAAGTATTGGGACCCCCCTCCAAATCATTGGATTCAGGTGTTCCAATCACCTCCATGGC